TTCCAGCACAGTATGAGCAACCTGTCGCTACTTCAATAAATCTTTGGAAAATGGCTATTGATGTGTTCTAATTTGTTAACTTTATGACTTTCTGGAAAGCCATAACATCATAATGCTGGAATTACTGTACGGTTGACATCTAGTACTGGTTGTGTGGATTGCTGTTTTTTTCAGTTTAACTAGATAAACTGTCTTACTCATTTACTGCTTAGGTTTTGGAACCAACTAAAATGGACTATAACTGGCAGATGCATAATGTATTATGATATTTCTTATCACTTGAATAAAATCTGATACTTCAAGCTAATAAAAATTAATCTTGCTTTCATATACTAGTTAATCTAGTTACTAAGAGCTAAGAATTCCCAAAATACCTTAAGACTCAGCTCTATAAGACATAGTAGTTAAGTGGCTGTGAAATAGTTCACGCAAACCCTTATCTGCAAAAGCAGCTTTCATAAGTTAACAGCTGACTTCATTTTCCAGGAAAGACTAGTTCCCAAAGGCTTGTCTGTATTACAGAAGTTAAACGAAGTCTTCAGCTGAAGTGAGGGTTAGATGTAGAGAAAATTAATGTATAGAGAGAATAACTTGCCTTGCTGCTGACTTCATTCCAGGATTTAAACCCCTTTAAGTGGAGTTCTCCTTTTCAGGGGAGCCACTGTGCTTTGTGTTTTCTACTGAACATCAGCCGAACTGCAGAAGGGGGAACTAAAAACTCCTGTTTGGCCTGCCATAGTCTTCTAGCAGGCAGAAATGAAAGGTTGAACACTTAGGCACTTGGAAGCTTTCTTCTGCAGAGTAAGGTATTTCTCAAATTGACACATAGTCAAAACCTCAGCACAGCTCTTACCCCACAAAAATTGCTACTCTGTTCTGTATTGCTCCTTCTGTAAAGCCTGTTTTTTGTAAGCTTTCACTTGGACACAGTTTTTGTGCAGTAAGTTCAAACTGGAGTTGTTTGGCAAGTGTGAATTGTATTCGGTCTTTGTTCAAGGTGATGGTAATAGTTCCATATACAGACATTGTCACATGCACCCGGGAACGGATCTGTAAGAAAAACTTGCTTGTCTTATAGGTAAGTTACTGTTATCCTCACTGACAGGGATGAAAACCCTGCATTTTTCATCCTTATGAAGCTCTTCCGTTTACTCCAGCGCATGACCAACCAGATGCAGTGCAGGCACTGGAGTAAGGGGGCAGTAGACTCCACTTTTTGTGCCCCGGTTGTCTGCCGCACGAGGTGAGATCTGCAGGGAGGATGCTGAAGAGGGAGGTGAGGAATGCGTGCGGTGTGCTGCAGCCCTCTTACGGCTCAGACACATGGGTGTCACACAGCCTGCATGCAGGGGCTTAGGCGTGACTGCAGTTTTCATCTTTGACTCTCCCGGGGGAAGTGCTGAAGCTGTTCTTTGCTGCAGAAAAGCAGTTCACTTTTCAAACAAGGCGAGGTGATGCTGTTCTTACCCTGTTTGTCTCTAGTAAGTGTTTATAGAGGACTTCAGCCTCTCACTTCCACCTCCCAGCAAGTCAGAGGGAAGTTTCCTCTTCCCCATTACGCTGCACTTGGGCTGATGTTCAGCAAAGCATACAAATCTGTTTGGCTGGAATACGTGCTTCTTGAGCTTGGTGCTTTAGGTGCTCACCTGAGAGAAAAGTCCTGCACTGGTCCTGTTTGTTCTGGTGACTCTTTCACACAGAAAGGCCAGAAGCGACTCCAAGGAGAGTGCCCAGACCCAAGCTTCAGGCACTGCTTGCTGCAAAGCAGAGCAGATTCAACCTGGTCTACAATGTGGTGAGACAGTCATGTTAAAAAGTGAGAGTGAACCCAGCCTCCTTCCTGCTGGGGAGGTTACAGACACCAGGTTTTCTACCACCCATTGACATGCAGAATGATAAAAAAGCACAAGCAAGCTTGCACAGGAGATGCTTTCTGTGATAGTGACAGCTCTAGGCATGTGCAATAGCTAAATTTAAACACCATAGGCTCAAGTGTGTACCCTTCAGGATAAGAGTGAGATAAGGTGCTGATGTTCTACCTATTGAAGACTGCTGAAGTCTTTTTCTGGATCTGGGCACTGAAAAGGTTGGGCCACTGCTAAGTGCCATTTCTTGCAGCTGAAGCAGTGTGCGAGCCCTGGATGGTGGCACCTGGCAGCAGGTGGGCAGGGAGAGTCAGATCAGGGGGCAGTGGGACCCACGGCGCAGCGTGCTGCCTGAAATGCACACTGACTGCTGGAGGTTACCTCAAGTGGGACAGTCTTTCAGGTATTGCTTCTCCCTCTGCTGCCAGCTATTTGGCTCACGGCTTTCTGTTGCCTTTGATTGCTTCACCCAGTAGATGAAAGAACTGACTGTATGTATCAAGCGCTGACAGTGCAGCAAAGGAGTAATTTCTGGATCTTCTGTATTTGGGGTTACCCAGAGCAGAGAGAAGCATGTGGCAGAGCTTTCATTGCTGGGAGTAAATACAAGGATAAATAAAAATAAATAAAAATAAAACCTAGTTGCCAAGGGGATAGGAAGACTGCAAGAAACCTCCAAAGCCTGTGCGACTGTGACAGTACCCTCATGGTGGAAAGGAGAGCAGATGGTGACTGTGACAACTTCTCACTGTTTGACCTAGGCACAGCAGCCTTGTGCTCATATAAAATCACTGAAAACTGCTTAGTGCTGAGCCAGCAGCTGGCCTCAGAACTGCTGTACCATGGGGCAGCCTTCAGAGTGGCTGAGCACTTGTTCTACCCTCCAGTGAGCACCGTGAAGCTGCTCCCATGAGCTTACATAGCAACTACCACCAAATGTGTGAGCTGTACTCACAGTAAATATTATTAATCCTCCAGATAATTGAGTCCTCATATTTAGTTTATTTTGCTTTATGGAGCCAGAAGCTTGCTTTCCTTTCCTTTTCTTTTTAATAATCCTGCAAAATATGGAAACTGTTAGCAGAGACCCCATGTTCCAAGCCCCTGGGAACATGTGGCTAATGCATTTCTTCTGCCATTCAGTTTGACTGCTTCAGTGTACAGCAAGTGTACTTTTCCCTCCTTCCACTGTCTTTCTTCTCTCCCTTCTGTTTCTTCCTTCTTCCCTCCCCTTAAGTTGAGGAAATAGCTGCAAGACTGCTCTGAGGTTCTGAAAACTCGGTTTACATGTGAGGTTTAAAGAGATCAGGACACTCCAGATGAGGCCTGATGGCAGTATGGTGGAAAGCTGTCCATCAGCAGTAGTGGAAGGGTGGTGGCATTGCTGTGCTGCATGCAGCAGGGTGCTGCCCCACACAATGTCAGGTGTCTGAGTGCTTCATGCAAAGCCATGAAAGCACTCAAGGAGCAGAGACCTTCAGAAAACTGCTTATAGGCAAATGCTTATCCCAGCCCAGTGTGAAACCTCCAAATGGATACTGGGCCAATCCTACCATGCCAGCTGCCTGTGATCAGAGCACTTACAGGGCTCATGCTAAAAGTCTTATTTGCAGGTGTAAAAGTGGGTTCCTAGTTACTTTGGGACTGGTCTGTTCTCCATTAGTCAATTAAAACATATCCTGTAGACTCTCAGTCACCTTTAAAGCATGAAGAAACTTGTGGCTGACATCTCTGTCATAGGGCTGATGGTGGCAGTCACCAAGGACCCATGTGGTTGTGAAGATCGTGTCCTGCTGGGGTTAACCCGCTCCTGGCCAGGACTTGCTTATGCCAGTGGTGGAATGGGAGCTGCCCAGCGCATATGAATTCCTACATTTGGAGATGTTGAGCAGCTGAGTGTCTGCATAGAGAATCCCACTGGTGTCCTAGCAGCAGGTAAGTATTGGAGATTTTAACTGCAAATCTTTCCACAAGGAAGGGAAATGAAGCCTGGATATTACTGAAAATTTAAAGTCATTTGCATACAATAAACTGCTCTAAGAGATGTTTGCCTGAGTGCAGCCACGCATGCAGAATTAGGAAGTGCAAAAAATAAAATTGCATCTTCAGTCTTCATTTGGTCCCTTTGTGCTCATGCATAATGCCACAGAATTCAGCTGCAAGTTCATGGGCCTTGTCTCATTCAGTGCACATCCCCGACAACGCTTCAGGAATCACTGCCGCTCACTGCTAGAGCATTTTAAGCCCTCCTGTTTGTGTGTTCCCACAGTTTACTTATCTGTTTTAAACAGTCTGAATGTTTAATTTCCTCTGGGCTATCCTCTGCTGTTCTTCAAGGTTCTTCACAGCAGCCCTGGGGTATTATCAGCCCTGTTTTACACAAGGGGCCATGGAGCGCAATGGTCAGGCTCACAAGTGGAAGCTGAACTTAGGGGTCTGGTGTGAGGCTGGTTAGCACTTTTAAGGCACTTACTGATTTCAGGTCCAGGTACTTTCCTAGTCTGGATCTCACACCAAGTTCCTGGAAAATTAAGCTCAGACATTGATGGGTACCAGTGCAAAGCACAGTTCAAGTGAAATTCCCAGCCTTGACCAGGAAGCAGGAAAGAAGTCCATCCAGTACCTCCTCTCCAACCTTAACCACAGGACCTTTCTCTCGCAAGAGCATCCTTCATTCAACAGCTCCCTTCTGCTGCAATAAGGGCAGCGATGCTCTTGCCAACAGGGCCCCTCACAACCCAGCCCAGTCTCATGTACTGGCCAGAGGTAAAAGCAGTTTATGTGTCGCAGTCTGTATCAAACGCATTGCTTCAGATAGGGCAAGCCCCCAGCAGCCAGCTCTCTGCACAGTGTAGCCGTGTGCAATAGTTTCCATGCAAACTCCTCAGCCTGGCGTTTTCTGCCCGTTCCTGTTTCAGAGACGTATTGCAGCTGTCTCCCTGCGGTGGTTTACAGGAACTGCAAGGGGCAGGCAGCCTGCGCGGAGCGTTTCTCCTCTCCGGTGGGTCCTTGGCTGCAGTGTACCATGCAGGATGGTGTGGCTGCAAAGGGAGGAGATGCAGCTTTCCCCAGGAGTAGCCCTGCAGTTATTCTCTGCTACTGACTGTGATTCTGAAGCCCATGAAGATGCTTCAGCTTGGCAGAGAACAAAAACAAATGCTGGGGATGAAGAAGTATGGTGGGTTGAACCAGCCAGCAGCCAAGCACCCACACAACTGCTTGCTCACCCCCATCACCGCCAGTGGGATGGGGGAGAAAACAGGAAAAACAAAGTGAGAAAGTTTGTGGCTGGAGATAGAGACAGATTAATGGGTGAAGAAAGAGAAGGGAACCCCAGGAGAAAACAAGGCAATCACACACCACCCGCCACAGTCAGACACATGCCCAGCTGGTGTGCGAACAATGGCCACCTTGGAAGCCAGTACCCTTCCTTCTTATTCCTTTACCTCAGTCTTTATCCCTGATGACTGAGCTGATTGAACGTGATGTTGTATGGTGTGTGACGTCCCTTTGGCCGGGTCAGGTCAGCTGTCTCAACTGTGTCCCATGCCCAGCCTACTCATTGAGAGGGCAGAGTGGGACACAAAGAGAAAGCCTTGATGCTGTGCAAGCACCCCTCAGCAACAGCCAAAACATCAGTGTGCCACCAATACCATTTTCGTGACAAATCCAAAACATGGCACTGTAGGAGCTGCTGTAAAGATGGTTAACTCTACCCCACTCTCCAGTAAAAGAATTTAGCAGCAGTTCAGATGGGTGCATGTCTCTGTACCTGGCAGCTGGGTTGAGGCTATGTACGAGGGCCTGGAAGGACCCAGGTTCAAAGTCCCTCTTTTCCAAATGAGGAGCAGGATTTTAAGCCCAACATAAGACACTCTATAGATTTTATGGATGTCCAAGAAATGTACAGGCTAGAAAAGCCCTGTCCTTTTATATAACCAGCTTTATTATATTATATGTCAAGTGAGTAATACAGGATGGTTTTGCTGGCTGTAGTGCTCCACATGCTGACGAAGTTTCCATACCCATCCCTAACTAGTATTGAAATACTGTAAAAGCACCCTGGCTACCACCTACTGTAAACTAATTCACCTACTGTACCCACCTACTCTAATACTGATTTTGTAGTTTTAAAGCTTATTTTGCAAATTGAGGATGGCAATTGCAAACAGAATTTCTGCTCTGACAGCCCTTCTCCAGTGTTGCTTGCTGGAGTGTGACAGGTTTGCTGCTCCCACCTTTTCCCATCAGACCGTAGTGCCCTGCAGCTAGGTGGCTGTAGAAGTGCATGCCTGTACCGCTCCTGCGAAACACAGCACAAGTCTCTTTCCCTGCTGCTTTAGCTAAAAACATTGGACTGTGATCTAGGAGGGGTCTGAAGGGGTGAATTCTTGCAGCAGTGGGATATGCCTCTATCCTGACCAAATCTTATGCTCATGTTCTGTTACTCTCAAAGTGAAAAAGTTGCTTCTTACATTGAAACAGAATTTCTTACATTTCAGTTCCTGTCCATTACCTCTAGTCCTGTTACTGGATACCACTGAGGAGGGCCTGGCTTTGTCTTCTGTACTCCCTCCATCAGGTGTTTATACACATTGATGCAAACCTCTTGAGCCTTCTTTTCTGCAGGCTGAAAAGTCCCAGCTCTCTCAGCCTCTACTTGTACGTCAGATGTTCCAAGCCCTTCGTTGTCTTTGTGGCCTTTGTCTGGGCTTGCACCAGTGCATCCATCTCTCTTCTACTGGGGAGCCCAGAAGTGGACAGAGCACTGCAAAGGGTTCTCGTCATGACTGAGCAGAAAGGAAGGATCACAGGATCACATCCTGCAGAAAATCTAGCTTATCCTGTAATCCTAAAATCTTAATAATCCTCATCAGTCTTCCCCTCATTTTAGTTCTGCTGTAATCTATTTAAAACAAGATGACTAAAACACAAGCAGTTTTCGAGACGTGCTTTGGAGCAGCACAGAGTGACATAATGGGGACTTCTATTTTGTGCTCTGTTACCTTCAAAGTAGGTAAAAATATCCCATCTACTTTTTTGATCACTGGGCTGATGTTTTCATCCCCCCCCCCCCCTTTTCCATCATCATTGACATAAATTTTTTATCCACTGTTTGATTGCCCAGTCATCCAGGACTGTGGTATCCTTCTGCAACTTTGAGCTTTGCATTAATACTGATTGCCATTACTAATTTTGTACCAACTGAAAACTTTTGTCATCCTTTGCTAGGTCACGGGGGATTATATTGAAGAGTAAAGTCCAAAGTGCAAATATGTGTGCGAGCCCAGTGCCAGCTTCCTTCCACAGTGAAGACTCTCATCTTTTTCAGCCATCTTCTACTTCCTAGCTTAAAATCGGGAGAACCTGTCCTTTGTACTTCTTAGGAACCTTCAGTTATCACTTTTGAAATAGCCTTTGACAAAATCCTCCGCCTGCATCACCTTTACCCACAAAGCTTGTGAAATGCTATAGATCTTTTTGCCAGATTCATGAGGCATGACTTCCTTGGGTAAAAATGCTTGTGGAATCCTGCCCAGCACAGCTGCTCTTACAGCTCCTCCTGATAAAGCCTTTTTTCTTACAGATTTATTTCTCTATAGATTTCAGCATCACCCTGGAGCCTTTCTTAAAGAAGGAAGTTATAATGGCTATTGGCTGTTCCTCTGACACCAGCCATATTTCAAGTAACAAGTTAGCAGTTTCATGCTGAGTTACTCCAGAGCCACTTGATGATTGTCATCCTGTCTTCTCACTGGTCAATTTTACTGGTTTGCTTCAAAATCTCTTCGGTTTGAGATTGTTCTTCATCTGTCACAGCAGGATCTATCACTTTGTTCTTAATGAGATGTGCTCAAGCAAGTACTTTTCCTATAGCCTTTGCTGTGTAATTCTACCTCTTGACTGTCTCACTTGGCTGAATTTCTGGAAGACATCGTGGTTTGGATGTGTCTGAAAGTGGTTTCTGTTAGCAGCTTGCATTGAACTGGTATTTGACCCATCTCACTGGAGATCTACATTTCACTTGCCAGATTTTCCTGGTTTTCCCATTTGGAAATGACTTTTGTCAAGTTCTAATAGTTCCCTTCACTGTCTTTTTTAATTAGGCTGAGATTTTTGTGAGGGTTTTTCTCTTTGTAAGATGCTTTCCACAAGCCAGTCGGCAGCTGTCAGACACGGTATCTTTTAAGATAAGTCTTTTTGGCCTTACCAGCATTTTCAATCTTTTAGTTTCTACTTTCTTTTTTTCTATCTTTATTGCTGCTCACATTTGAAGCTCCCTTTTGAAGTTCTGCACGTTTGAAATGGACTTTCAGGTTGTTTTTTTTTCCTTCCTAGCTTGAATTCAGTACATGCAATTGCTACATCGTCCTCACCACTAACCTCTTCACATTCCACACAGGCTGTAAAGTACTTGTCTCTCTCTGTCCTTTGCAAGAAATGGTCTTAGCATTTCTCTCCTTTAACCCATAAATTATCTAGTCACTCTTTCCTTTAGGTAGTGAAGCTCCTATGTACCTAATCAAACTCAGAGCAATTGCTTGAAGTTCATGGCGTCTATTTCGGACATGAGAGCAGCTTTCAGATGAAAGCCTTTCAAGTTCCCCCAACTTTATTAGATGGACTAATAAAACACAGGGTGTCTATCCACAAACTTTGACCTTCATGGAAAAGGAGGTGCCTGATGTAGAGGGGGTGTGTGCTCTGATCAGGAAGAGCAAGTAGGTGAGGCATCCCTTGCTTGTGATGGTTCTCATTGTGCTGCAGCCTTCCAGGCTGGCTGGTATTTCCAAGCAAAACAACAGGCATCACAGGCTTCTCACAATAGATAAAGTCCTTTGTATTCCGTATCATCAGTCTCCAGTTGGAGAGCTGCACTTCACTACTCCACACTTCGAGATACATTAACGTTAAGGTAAGGTATCATGTGGGTAAAATCCTACATGAATAAATTCTGCAGGGTTTATTTGCCTGCGGTCTGAACAGAGCCTGCTGGAGCTGTTAAGGGGGCGAAAGGGAGACAGCAGCATTTAAGCAGAGGAGGTAGAAGTGCCACAGGACTCAGAAAAGAGATTGGTATAGGCTTGGAAAACCACTATTTTATGCATGAGACAAAGCAAAATACCGGGCTGGCCTTCTACCTTTGTTCAGCTTCCTTTCTGTGTACACAAAGCAATTTCAAACACATGATTTGCTTTTCATCTCTCAAATATTACTTCTGTTCATCCAAGAAGTCCTTCCCCAAATGCACTGTATATCATTAGGGACCTGCTCCACACTCCAAATGTTTTTTTCATGTAATAAATACTTGACATTTAGAAAAAATAGCTTCTAAATTTACACAGTGCAGAGCTCACAGTTTGAGATTACCCTCTAAACACCCTCAAGTGCCAGGCGCATAAATAAATATCTTTGCAAATAGATTCTCATTTATTAGTTTTGCAAATGTATTTTCACTTCTTGGGGATGGAAAAACAGCTCCAGTTTAAATTATATAGGAAGAAAGTGAAGGAGAAAGGCTGATCAAAAATGTTAAATTCTCTCCTTGTTCTTTTGATTTGTTTTCTGTCTTTGTAATTCAAATATCATAATAGTGCTACTATACATCTAATCTGTCTAGTTACGCTTTATGTCATGGCCAACCAAGCTGAAGCAGCAGCAAGAGATAAACTGCAGTTTTTAGAGAGCGGAAAAGCTGTCTGTCTGCAGTTCATACATGGTCTCCACCATACAGAACATAATCAGGTCTTCAGATGAGGTGTATTTACCCCCTTAACACTACTGGGAGAGGACCAAGCATTGCTGTTCCCATTTTGACGAGGGAGTAACAGATGAGCTTGGCCATAGAGAAATCAAGGGACTGCTTTCTACTCTCCTACAGAGATATTAGGAATAAAAGATCCCTACAAAGGTATCCTTCCCTCTGAACTGCAAAGTCTTGCCTTATTTCCAGCTGTGTGGAAATAAAAGAAAGAAAAGATTCCTGATGGCCACAAATTGGTTAGCACCCCTTCTTACCATCACAGAAGACCCGAGGATGATGCCTGTGCTACAGAGGCTGGAGTACTGATGCAGTTAACAGTGCCATGCAAAGATACAATCATAATCAGTGAGCAAGGTGACCCTTTCATTTACTTTGGCTGTCAGAAAACTAAACTTCTTGTTCAAGTTGTCTCTCTGTTGTTAGTGGAGGCATAACAGCACTGTGGTGGATGGGATAAAGGGCCTGTTTTCAACAGCCCGCTGCCTCCAAAAGAAGGCTGTATTAGCCCAGATGGTCAGCTTAAGGCAGTCTGTATAGCCAGTCTCCTCTTCTGTACAGGCTGAGCTTTAGCGATCAAAACCATAAGTGATCAGGGATCCTTAGACGTGCTCAGAGGCTGAGGGCCTTCAGTTCAGTGACTGTCTGTGTTTGTCCATGAAGTCTATGAGTCAGTAGCAGCGATGACCATGATGGTTACAGACTTGGGTTTGTGTGGATGTGCCAAAACATTGTGTCTTGGTCAAAAGTCATCACTTCAGTGAAACTGAAGTAGCTTGTCATTTTTTTTCTGGCAAATGGCAGACGAAGCCATGTGGAACAGATTGAGTGTTGAGCTCCTTGTTAGCACAGAATTATGCTCTTGCTACTGCCTACCTCTTTCTGTGAGCATGGATATCTAGATTCAAGGATATGCTACCCTGTCAAGCTTCATGACATCCTCTTCATTAGTGTTGTATTACACTGAGTACTGGCTATTACTTGCCTCCAATTTTTGTTCTCTCAGGAAGATCTAGCCCCTGGGCCCCAAAGCCCCTCAGGCTCACAGTTACTTTATGCCTTGCTAATGAACTTATTCAAGCAAAGCAGTGACAATCCCTAAGTGAAAGCAGTTTTACTTGCACTGCTAGACTGCAGAACTAAGCTAAAACCAATCGGATTAAACTACTTTTAATATATCTATTCAGGGCTGAGCAACAGTTCAAGTACACAAATCCAGCACTGATTTCAACAGCATTTGATAAAGAGCTTTTACATTCTGATTAATTTCTTGCGACTGTGAAAATTGTTCAGAGATCAAATAAACGAAGTTTGCTATGTCTGTTATTTGTAAAGGTACAGATTATTTCAGAGAATCCTTATTAACCTGATCTCATTATATGTTATCTCTAAGTGATAGTCTGCTACTTAGCTACTATTTCCCTAGTCATGAAGTGTAATGCCCCAGGCGTAATGATCAGGCCATAGACAAGTCCATGACTTTGTAGGGATAAGGTAGATGGTAGCTTGGTCTGAGGTTGCACCTGCCTTTCACCAACACTGTCCCTTATGGTGAAGCACTGAACTACAGACACCATGGCCCAGCTACTCAGCCCACACTCTCTATAAACCAGGGAATCTATGGCATGATTTATCATATGCTAATGTAGGTTACCAAAAATAAGCCGGATTAATTATTCTCCACTTCTCTCCATAGATCATAAAGGGAATTTACAGTGATGACTTTGAACTACAATGTTGACATCTGCATTCAGTTACATGGAGACCACCTTTGGTGCCAAAATGCATCTACTTCAGGTCACTGCTAGACTACACAGCACTGAACTCCTGTGCTGGGCCACATCCCCAGCTCTTGTTTTTCTTTTCCCCTGGTCTGAGGTCACTTTGCAGTGATCTTCCATCTCAGCTGATCTCTTGCTGTCTGGGTTTTGAAATTAATATCTTCAGCAAATCATTTAGCTCCTGTGGAGCACATACAACACAATCAGTATAATTACTTCATGTCACACCTCAGTTGTCACTTCACTTAAATGGACTGCAAGTAAGATGAACTTGAAAAGTGCTCTAAGATAATGTTCTCAGAGTTTCTATTTTAGACTCTTCTGAAAGATGTTAAATATATTCAGAAAAAGAGATTTCATCCTAGAAATTATTATCTATATTATAGCAGAGGGAATAGGGCCAACAGAGTTCAGAGCTCTATGATTAACACACTGTTAAAAAACTTTCAGTGTAGATAGAGAAAGGGTAGGACAGGAATAATGGGACTGACCTAGTAAGCTTAGGTATTCGTGATGGAGAAATTTATACAGAAGTAGTCACCCTGATTATGAAATAGCATCCTATGCTACTTCGTAGTAAAAGGCGCCCTACCTTGAATTGAAGATTGGTTGGTGTGATGAGTTACAGGCTATTTCCTTCTGCTGCCAAGCACATTACCAAGGCAGCAAACCACAGAGCTGAACTCCTTCCTCTCCTATAGGTGATTCAGACCCACGGTTCCCAATTGCCTGGCAGGAGTCCTAGGCACCCAGCTGCCGGGGGGTCTGGTGGGAGTTGGTGGCAGCCAGGAGGCAGGAGCTACGCCTGAGCAGAGAAAATGGGACTGCAGCCTGCTCCTGGGCTCATGGCAGGTTTTGCACAATGCACATTGTTAAAGGTGAAGGATCTGTTTTAGAGGGGCTATTCAAACTGAAGGGCTGTTACTGGGTGTTTTTACACTGTTAAAACTCCACACATAATACAAGAGCAGTTATTGTCCTCACAGAGCAGAATAAAAGCTAAACAAAAAGAAGTCATGCCCCTGCAGGTTTGGAGTTGCACAAGCAGCACTGCGCTTAAAATTCAATCAACCAGATTGGTTTCCCCCTAAAAGTCTCTTAAAATACCTAATAATAATTTTGAAGATGGAAGTTATCCCATTTCTAATATTTACATTATTTTCCCAGCACATCCAGCATTTCTGCCTCCACTGACAGTGGCAGCACATGAGACTCTGCACCAATTCAGCTTTGTTTCCCTGCGCTGTGAAACCAGACAGCAACTTAAATTCAGCACTTGCTGTGCTCTCTCTTTTCTCACTTACATGATAAAAGAGTTTCATCTGCATTTATATACGTAAAAGTTAATACTTTCATTATGGTGTCTCCATTAAGCAGATGGTTTCATCTATCAGTCTGCACAGGCCATGAGACTTCACCAGTCCTATCTGCTATTAATTGGCTCTGGCCGCAGAGTGAGGATGAAGCAGACACTTGATACAGGATGGAAGAAACAAGCTAAAACTGAGACGTGCATCTCAAGCACCAGACATATCCAGACACCAGAACATGGGCACACTGGGATCATTGAGGAGGAGGCGACCTCTCTCCCCTCTCTTTTTAAAGAGCTGATGATCTTCCTCAGCACATGTGGCTGAGGCCATGACCCCAGCTCCCCTCACCCACTGCCATGGCTGTCAGCTTGTGGACCAGGCTTTGTCCATTCTTTTCTCCTGGATGAACCCAGTGTCCTTATGTTGTATGATCTTCACATGACACTTTTTGCCTAACAGTATTTTGAGGCAGGAGGAAACCTAACCTGGCCTTGAACAATCTTGTTGCTCCTGGTAAAATTCCTTCTTAAGCCCTTCTAACAGCAGCAGCCATGTGTTTCCCATGGCAGGAGTGCCATCTTCATGGGAGATGCTATGCTCCCAGGAGAAAGGTTTGTGCTGAGTGAGATCAGAGGTACTACAGCTGTTTGACAAGCATAACCTCAATGCATAACCCTTCTGCTCTCCTCTTGTCCAGCCAGCTTTTCCCAGACTCCTCCCCTTTCAAGCAGGGGATGAGGAAAAGGCAATGCTTTGTCTGAAGCAGCACTCACTTACTCTGTATCTGGGCCAAGCAGCCCTAATCACCAGCCAGTGCTGTTCCTTCAACATTTAGCTGTTTATCAGCTAAATATTTTAGATGCTTAATCTTATTCAAAGTCACTTCCTTTCCACAGCAGAAATCACACTTCTGCTTTAGAAACTGCTCTGATTATGAGGGCACATTTGCATCTGCATCACTCATATGCAATTCCAGCTGTCAGCACAACAAACAAAAGAAAACCCTTGGGTTTGATCTTCTATGAAAGACCAGTACTATACGGGAAGAAGGGAGGCCACAAAGATCCAGATCTTAATCTTTGGCCAGAAGCCACTTGTTTGTCCATGAGGCAAATAAAACCTTTCAGTTCTAATCTCGGTTCTGGCTGTAATAAAAATTGGCAATTGCAGTTCAGTCCCTAGAGGGCCCTAAAGGACAACAGTCCACATCACAAAACAGCTGCATGTACTTGTTTGCCCTGATTGGAGGAGACAGTCAAGTTCTACTTGGAGAAGTCACGGTAAGCAGCACAGAAGCTATACGGCCGCCTTCTGGCCAAGAGTAAACACTCAGAGGAGAAATTTCTCTGAAATTCATCTGTTTGAAATCTGTTCACTACAAGTACCTGTGTATGTGACCAAAACCTATACGAAGAAAAAATCCATATAATCCACTAAAGCATGTCCAGAGGTCTACTAGATACATATCTGCTAGACACATACCCATGGTCAGTATTTGTATGAAAAACTTCTGTATCAGTGGTTTACTATTTTCAGTTAATCACTGCTTTCAAAGTATTTGGCTATTTTTAGAGCTGTTTTTTGAATTTAATGGCTACTTTTCTTGTTTGCTTCTCTTCCTTGTTTGATTTGTCTTCAATAAATAATTAAAAAATGATTTCAAATCATTAGGAGTAGCAAAAGAAGAAGACAGTTAACTGTGTGGAACAGAAAAGACTGCAATTACATGAAAGCATTGTTTAAGCAATACATATTTATACATGCACACCTCCCCCATACCTGTTTTAAGCATAGCTTTCTTTTTTCCTTGTACAATTTTAAGGAACCACCCATATTTCTACTGTCAGTTGCCAGCACTGCTGTAAAGGAATCAGACTAATGCATTTTCGATGGTGCTGTGCCTCAGAAGCCATGTTTCTGATTGTTAAGTCTCAGGAATTCAAAAAAGAAGAAAATAAATCACAATTATGCCTAATAAGTCTTTATTTCCAAACAGAAACTGCAAAAATATTCTATTACTGAACAGGTAACAAGTGCAGAATTCTAAGTATGCATTGTAACAGTGAAACCATTGCCTCCTTGACCAAAAAATCATTAGGCACTTAAAACATGAAAACAAAGTACAACTTAAATCAGCCATAACAGATGACTCAACAATACAAATTCATCTTGATTTTCTGTAATAAAGCACACACACGCTTGAGGGGCTTTCCATGCCTCCTCCTAAATCCTGCACAGAGACACTTCTATGTTACACTGCACACATTCTACTCAGACAATAGCAAGATCACATCTGAAAACCTAAATAAGTTCAGCGTTGACAGAATCTGAGAGAACCTTTTTGGGAACAGCAGTAGCAGAGCCTACACTAGCAGCTTCACACAGAGCCTGGCGCGTGTGGAGGAGCACAATTATACCAGCTCCAAGGGGGGATAAGCTCTGCTTCCACAATTGCATTGAAAAGAATGGAACCAAGATTAATGCAAGCATTTTAAGAGACAATGAAACCTCTGGGCAAAAGCTATCATGGAAACTTCATGGAAATACATTTTTGACACATGGAACAGTCTGAAACAAAACCATGCATTTGCTATCCTTTAGGAGCAGCTCTGTGTAGGACCTCTCCATTCTCCCACCTTCTTGCTTGCAAGTCTGGAAGTAAATCAGAAGCAGATGTGGCCTCTTAGACCACCTTAGAAAGGTTCATCTAAGAATCAAATGTCTAAATTACACTTTAGATACATTTTGACAGATGACAAATTTGATACAAAAGTACCCATCAATAAATCAGTCAGATGATACCCTTAAAAATGATTTTTTGGTGTATCACTGTTTTTTTTAGGTGACATTATGTAACTTCCCCCACAGTTTACTCTGGTAGCACAAAATATGAGTATTTTAAATAATTTTAATTAGAATCTAAAAACAAAAAATCAACATAAAGAATATATATGAAGCTACTATATAAAATGTGCATATGAAACATGATGAAATAGCAGCTGCTAAACTTCTGTTTCACAAGAATTTAAGACTGGGTTTGTACCATAAGCACTTTCCAATAAATACACCAAGGAGGTGTCCTTAGGGACTCAGCTCACAGCCAAGCCAAGAGCTGAGAAGCCCAGCAGGTTGTTGAACTACAAATTTGTTGCGAAGAACCTCCTCTTGTCAGGGATTAAAGTGGATAGTGAGGAATTTAAAACCAGCAATATTGTCTTAGACTAGACTATCCTGTCACAACCATGAGCATGATTCATTTAATGGCACCTTGCTATGATACCATGAATTCATGGTGGTATCATTAAATACTTCCACCATGCAATTAAGTTTTCTCCCTTACTGGAGAAAAGAGGGATAAAAAAGAAGACAGGGCACAGCAGTACTAGGTGCAGCAACAAACACCAATGCATTGCTGAAGCTCTGCCAGGTTTTAGCAAAACACAGACTTGACTGTTTACCTGATGACATGAGGATGTCACTCCTTCTTGTATTTAACAGCTAGGCTGTTTTCATCCTTAAACCAGTATTTGCCAACACCCACCACCAAACAGCAGCTATTGCTCACACACAGAGGAATGTGAGCTCAGCCAATTATACATCACAGTATGAAGGTTACTCCTCGGTCTACAGCGACCCCAAGCTGGTGGACTCCCATTGTGTTAAGCTCTCGTCACAGTGCTTCAACTTGCTGGACACCGAGAGCGCACTGACAGGCTGCTACCCCAGCTGGCCCCAGGGTCATTCCTCGGGTGAGCCAGTGTTCCCTAGATAGGATGTATTCTGAAATGCTACTTTATGAAAGGAGACCACTAAGCAACTGCAATAGCTCCTCTGTTTAGTGGCATGCTGCAGATTGTTTCATGCTCTACTAGACCAGTATGATAATTTAGAGCCAATTAAGAAATACTTTATGAAAATCTGGAACAAAGCTTAATAGATATAAATCTGCCCAGTCATTTGTGCTGTGGCTGAAAGGCCAAAATGATTTTTTCACAGTACCCTGAGAGATCAGCAGCCTTTGAAATTCAGAAACTCAGAGAAGGATGATGTTCCTGCCTAAAATGACTGAATTCAAAATCAAGAGGGCCAGGCTTTATATGTGTAAATACATATCCCTTTGTCACTGTTCTCGGCTAGCAGACCTAGAGATGAAAGAGATCAGCTGCTGAAGTACCACAAGATGAAGGATTACCTAGCCATGAATATATATATATACTAAAAACTTCTTGTATACAAAGTCTGCTGCTCTGGAGCGTGCAACAAGTGGCTATCAGCTGTCTGAAATAAAGCTCTTTCAGAATAAAGCACTTGCCAAAATATTCTTTGGGCTTGAACTCTCGCAGACTCCTATATATACATGTAAGTGGATGTGTGCTTTGTGGACCTGAGAGTCTCTGGAGAGGCTACTGCACAGATGTTCAGGATCTCACTCCCCAGATTTGTCACATGAGAGTGAATAACAGGACACAGAAAGATCTCCAGGTCAAACCTAGGGTTTTTAAACCTAGACTGCCAACTCAGGCTGTAGCTTCACTACAGTCTGTGCAGGCCTAAGGTCTAAGTGATCAATTAACCCAGACTACTTAACCAATCCAGATACCTGCACAGGATAAAATCAAATAATACATAACAACAGGAATATTTTACTAGTAACTTGTGGAGCCCACAGAAGGTGCCAGGCCACCTAAATGATTGGTTTATTTTCCTGAATCACACAGGACAGAGAATTTCACCCTGACTCATGCACGGCAATATGTCAGAAATCTCACTACTGTACAGAGAATCCAAGTGAGATTAACTGGTCTCAAAATCACCAGACCCTGCGCAGCTCTGTTCTCTGCAGATGCTGTTGGACATGCTGGGATTAGCAGACTGAAAGCACAGGCATGCTGAATAATGAGCAGGTGTATGCAAGTTTACTGTTAGTGACCTGAGAAACAATATTTACAGACAAAAGGTGTTTTTCTTTTACAGTTATAATTCCTGAACCTGCTGATGGTGAACAGCTTGTTAAAATAACTGTAATGGGAAAGAGAGAAGAGGGAGCAATCATTAACAGTGCAGGTACATAGAGTTCCTAACTGGTTTCTGTCACCACAGGAAGAGACGGGGCTCCTGCCCACCAGAGCAGCCACCATGATATGATTTCCCCTTGCAGGAGCCCTTCTCTCCCCAGAGATGACACCTTCTGGACTTGACCAAGGTTTCAGGGGACTGTTGGGCCTATCCAAGAGCTGTCAGAGAACAAATGACACCTAAATATGTCCATACAGCCCCACCTGTATGCTCTCACCACCTCCTTGGCTTTGACTCTGAAATTCCCCTGGCTCTGTTGGCATGCACCGATTTTCCACCATGTCAGTTTTTTCCCAGCTCAGTGTGCCAAAACAGCTCAGTGTAGGATCAGACAGGAGCCAAAGACGGCATGAAGGAAGTGGTGCCGAGCAAGAATGAGGATTGGACTGTGAGCCAGCCATTACAGCTAAAGCCACTATGGAGCTACAGCCCAATTTTAGCACCTCCAGTTATGCAATGTGAGTATCTCACCATGCTGTGCTTTCCTTGAGCTGTAAACTGAATCATTTAAAGTATGCTTTACTATGCTGCAAGCATAGCAGCATTTGATTCATAGCCATACAAACTCCCTAACAAACACTAAACAGGACTACATAACGCCCTATGGAGGGAAGAGAAATAACCAGCTTGAGGCAGCACTAGATCCTAAAGGAAGATTAAAGATTCAGAGGAGAAAAATGAATAAAAGCAGCCAAGCAGGCGTTAATCTAACGATGCTGTAAAGCAGTCATGTGCAAGGACACTGTCAGCCTCTGCAAAGGTACACTGGAACTATTAGCACGTTGTCAGTGTTTCTATGTTTAGAAAACTATTTAATCTCAATATTCTTTCCACAGCATGTGACAGATTGGAGGCCCACAAACCCTAAAATTATTATTCCTCATGTGAAGTAGAGGGAACTGAAAGGCCCTTCCTAACCTTTGGTCATGAATCCTTCATGAAAGCTGCACTTGGCTGAGTCTTGCAAGTGTCATACACATTCCCAGCTAGAGAATGGATTCGAGATCCATTTACTCATCATTAACTTGGCACAGATGTAAAATCAATGAGAAATCGTAGATGTCAAATAAAGAATTTATTTGGCTACCTGGAAAAACACCCTTTCCTACAGTGAGTGTACTTCACCAAGTCTTGATCAATCTCACTATAACCTGTCACGCAGAAACACCACTATTAGGTTGCCCGGTCTGTGCACAAATTAACATGACCTAGCCACCAAGCACACAGCAGCAATAGCTGTAATAAAGCCCAATACAAGGTCTGCACTCCTGTGGAGTGAAGTGGATGCAACTAGCATCTAATTGGAACTTCACGTCTGGAGCAAGGCCCGAGAAAGCTACATTAAAAACAGGTTCTTAATTTAAAGTCTAATAGAGCATATTTTAATTTTACGAGGAGTTAAGAGTATTTGTGGGAAAGGGTAGGAAATGTTAACAATTCCTCCACACATTTCTTGTTAGCCCTGTGCACCACACAAATCACTGAGAGCTCTGAGAGCACAGAGATTCAGGTCTTCAGGTCAATGACAAGTTTAAATAGCGCTAAAAAGTCATAGTGTCTGTCCACGTTACAGAGCCTTCCATTTGCTCTCATTTGTGAGTGTGACATCACACTCCTTCAATTAAGACCTCTTTCTGTTAAGGAAACTAGAATAGTTTTTTCCTTTAGCTAAACCTTTTTAAAAATGTACTCCAATAACCTTTCCAGTAACTAGTACATGTATGTTATAAATAACATGGCTGCACAGAAATGGTCCAGACACACAATGACTTCATGATGTGTCATGGTACTCTGTACAGATGTATTCACTGAGATAATGGAGTACACTCAAAACTAACTAATAAACGCTACTGAAAGAAACTGCTTCTCCATTGCAAATACATTTCATTTTCTCCTCTCTACATCTTCTGCTTACACACAAACAGGTTTTGCCGCTTCAGCCACTGAGTAGCTCATTGAATTTAATCTGAGCAACGAATGACACCCTTTGCATCATCTCTACGTGCACACAAAGCACTTTTACTATTGTTCTGGATACAATGAAGGATCCTCAGACTCTAAAAGATGTATGAATTTTTCCAAATCAAACCATGTAGCTTCTACACAGCCATCTCATTGCACTGTGCTAGACTGGAACAAGTCACAGTCCTTGCCTAGACAGAGGGGCATCTTTGTCTCTCTGGATAAAATAGGATGTGGTTCTCCTCAAATTGTTTGCATCACCCAAAGAACAACTATGTCACATTGCACAGCTTCCAGCTACCAACACTCTGGGATAGCCTATGTGAGTGATAGGTATCCCATGGTGTAGGAGGAGCTCTTCTGGGAGCGCATTTATTTTTGATCTACAACTAGGACTTGCAGTAGGCAATCACGCCTAATCACTCACAACATGGATGCAGGGTCTTGCAGCTGCCAGCTCTCTACACATGAGCAGCAGATGCCTATGGCCAGAAACTGGCACAAATTTCACTGCTGGTGAAGATAAAATGTGGATGTGTGGTGATGGAACCATAACAGATCACAGTAAATCAAACCCTTGTGCTCGCCTCTTTCAGTCACCAGCTGGTAACACAGATGTACTCATCGACTTTGTTTCCATTAAGAGCCCTATTGATATTCAGAGGTCCACCCATGTATTAGCAGTGCCATTCAATGCCCCAAAACACCATCAACTTTTTAAAAACCTTATTTAAAAAAAAATTACTTTATTGCTGGTGGTTACAGCCAGGAATTACGGATGCTTCTCCTTGGATAGGAGTAGTATTGGATTCCGATATCATTACCTTGGAAATGGATCACGATGCTGAACGTGTCTCAACTAAAAGACCGGCACCCATACTGATTGATTCTAAAACTTTCAGGACTATTTATGTTATTATAAAACTGCTGCAAGTTAAGCTTGCAAATACTGCAACACAGAAATGCTTTTATGAAGTATCACTTTAAAACATTTTTTAACCTTATAAGGTTTGATTCAAGTAGGATTTTTGTTTTACAGATATAATCCTCAATGAGTGGAATATTCAATGCTCTTTAAACCAGTTGATTGGGGAATTAATGCTACGGTGGCAAAATGAGTTTTAGTAAACAAAATATATGACAGTATCTGTAAAAAGAAGAAGAAGGACACTATGTTTGAACTGATCTTTCAAAAGACTCTCAGAAAAGCTACTGAAACTGAGGTTACAGTAGCTGTTATCACAATTTTTTGTTTAGTTGGGTTTTTCTTCTGCAGGAAAACATATCAGCAATAACATACAAGCAGCCACAGCTAGGGCAACAATTGCTCATGGTAGCTCCTGTAAATGTTAATGTGATTCTTTCCACTGGGCTGATACGTCACTTTCTCTAGTCACAGGATGTTGCTCCCTGGGTATTCTTGGACCATCTGAAAACTTAAAGCACAAGAACTGCATGGGTTTTAAATTCAGGGACTGTAGGGTCTGTTCTCATATGTTCTGGTACAGAAGAAGAACTTGGGGTCAACTGTATAAGCAACATTCTTCTAATAATGCTTAATGCAGTTTCCTTATCTGTAGTCACATATTGGTCCGAGCTATGGTTGGTGAAAAAGCAATAGGAGAAATGATGGGTTTGGTACCTATCATTTTTCTAATGAATGGTCCATCTTGTATGTCAGCCGAGATAGAGAGCTGGGATTGCAGGAACGTGTGCAAAGTCATGTCCTACCAAGACTCCAGGGATTGCAGCATAGAACCTAGTTCACTGTTCTCATTTGCAGCTGAACTGGACCTTAGATAGAAACACAAGCAAGAAGATGGATTTAAAAGCAATTATACAAATTCGTCCTTCAAACGCTTGCTCACAAAATTAACATCGCTCATATGAGAGATCCCCTTAAAGCCACACCATTATCTATTTCCCACAAAATGAAAACCCATAAACAACTTGACTATCTCCAACCTGGGTGATTTTTGAATCTGTGCACCCTGGAACAAACTAAGAATGACATGGCTCAGAATTAATTACTCCACTGTAGCTCTTCCCATCACCTTTCTCATGTAGACAAATGTTAGTTTTTATTGGATCAAGTTCTTAACTGAAAATTTCCACTGCCAACTCATGCCGCTACCATACAGAGACTATTGCCTGTATTATATGATACTAACAAAACCAGAGATCTCATGTCAAAATATTTTAATGATCCTTTAAGAAGCAGAATACATTAAAGGTCACATATTGCCACCATCCTGAGATTGTGCTTTGAAGCAACTAAAACAATAGACAGGAGTTTCAGAATTTCCCAAATAAATGTTATTTTGCATTTAAAGAAATGATTACTTGAAATTCAGAAATGTAGCAGTCACTGTGTGAAAAAAAGTCACTCTCTTTTCTCCCCAAGTGTAAAATGTTTCTCTATTGTAACAATGCATCTTAATGCTCACAAAACCACATCAGCTCAAATCCAACACTGAACTGCTGAGATACACACAAACTGTCTCCTTAGGATCATCACCCTGGAATTAAAACAGTAAAATATGTTATTGATATTTCTTGTACACCAGCAAAATAGCTTATTATATTCAAAATAAGCTAAGAGCTTAGTCTTCTCTGTGTGCCTTTCATCTTCTGCATCTGCTTTTTCATCCTTATTTTAGACTGGGAGTCTGTGACATTTATTATACAGCACCACAGACTCACAAAATTCTCCTGGGTAAACTGGACTGCTAGTGCCCGATTTAGCTTTAGTGTCTGCTCTTTCTAAAGGAGGGCTCCTTCATTAGAACACCCCCTGTGCACACTTACCCCTTCAGACTTCCTAAGATAACCAAGGCTGGGTCTAACCAGTATCTTCATGGGACACATCCACTGCTAATCTATGGATATGTTCTAAATTCATTACCTTAATCTTATTTTGAAATAGCTAGTGATTGAAATTATTCCATTTCTTCAATAGGCAAGTTCTGCTGTGGAAAACCAAACCAAAACCAAACCCTTCTAGATCTCTAAAGACTTTTTTATTTGATTCAAAAATAAATATAAACTCAAATTTGCTTTAATCTATATTTTTCTATTCTGGTGGATTGTAACTAAACCACACGCAACTTTTTGCATTACTGACAGTATTCTTCACACTTAAAATTAGCGGCAAAAGGACATGCTTAAAAGCTATACTGCATGGGCACTAAAGCAGAAGACCTTTCATTCAATGTTGTATACATCTAATAATTTCCTGCTGGATAATATTTGCCCAAGTCAAGGACAGCCTGAGATTTGGCTGCTTGACAGGAACCCAGAGGTGTCCTTATTTTTAAAATGTGGTATCGTTTTTCTCAAGGTAATTAAAAATTAACTGTGGGACAGGTCATATTTCTCTAGCTACACTGAGGCACCAGAAGCATGAAAGAATTTCAGCAGAACTTAAGCTGATGTTGGTATCCTACAGCTACATAGATGGGTTATTTATAACAATTATATTTATAAATGGGTTATTTCTAACAGTATTTATGACTTATTTGGATTGCAGCAACTTTCAAGATTAAGAAAGATAACATGCTGATAGAGTCTGGAACAAAATGATTCTCTTTGATGTTAATTCCTGAGGAATTAAGCAGGAAGCACCCTAATTTACAGGATGCTGCCATGCTAACTCCAGCTTGAGTGGAGGGCTTCACTGCTGCTCTGTCAGAAACAGATGTCTTTTAATCATCTGGTTGGAATTAAAAAGCCCAGACCCAATTTTTACTTTCCAGGTAAGATACACTTGCACTCGGTCGAAGGTTCAGCAGTTCTCACTCCTTAACCACCAGCACACCTCTGCTCAGCCTCTCCTCTTTCAGTCCTTCCGCTCGGACGATCGAACACTATTCTCTCTCCCAGGCTCACTGAATCTCAGTTTCATTCTTCCTTTCCATGTCTGGGTGCTTTTTTCTCTGTTGACTGACTCCTTTGAGCAGCTGCTTAATGTTACTGTGTTGTATGTCAAAGCAACACATACTCATCTTCCCTCCTGTCTCTTTGTAGCAAACAGAAAACTTGATGGATTCTTGGTCAGACAAAACCTGCATTTTAACCAGGCTTCTGGGCAATCAGATTTTTGCCAGTTGGATTAATTTATCATCTGACAATTTGTGTAATCAGATTTTTCTGTCTATTTTTAAATATGAATCAGGCCATTTCCCCTCCTTGAACGTATGTTTACTTGAAGCTAATGACATGCCCTTCAGGCTTATCAGGTTAAACCAATGCTCAAACAAGACTTCCTTCAGCTGCAGGGCCATAGCAAAACTGATTTGGTAATGTAATAAAAAATAATAAAGATCATTATTTTAATTACATTTTAAGATTCTGCTGATGTCTCACTTTGCATTTTACCATCTGTGATAGGTACGCATTTACTTTAGCAGAGGAGATACGGACATGTCTGTTGAGCGTAACTGTAGAGGGGCAGGAGCTGATATGAAGGCAAATGGAGTTCTCATGTTGTTCAGCACCATCTCTGCTGGACTCTCATGAACTCCAAAAGTTCACCTTTACAATGGCAAAGATAGTGCTTAGGAGCAATACTACCAAAATGATTCACTGGGATGCAGTTACGCTCTCCCTGTGATGTTCCAGAGCCTGCTACCCGCTTGCAATATAGGTGCTTGAAGCAAAGCAGCTTCCTTCACTTTTTATTTATAGCACCAAACTTTCATGTTCCACTAATGGGTCTGCCTGAGACTTCTGTGGGCACCCAGTGGTGTAAGGAATCTTCTTCAGCTACCCACTAACAGGGAAGAGCACAAAGCAGAGAGAAGAACATAAAAGGGAAATTGAAAAGAACAAGGAGATTGTTCAATTTTTAGAAAAGGTCATCTTCAGTAAAGTATACTCATTATAGAATTTCAATTATCTCTAATAGCCGATAATAGTAGCAGAATGGTAGCTCATACTGAAAGCATTTAATTCCTTTGGTTTTAAAGGACTCACTTTTCTTTGTATAAATGTAAATTAGGGCAGCACATCTTACCCTTCTGGTGTTTTTTTTCTTTTACAAATTTGGCAACAGAAGTGATTTTCAGTCTGTCAAGCATGGACAATGTTTAATTAACCCATACAGATGCTTAAACATTTTTGTGGCTTCTATCTGCTTCTCCCCAAATTAAATATTCCTAAGGAGCTGCCTTTCATTTTCTTAGCTGGTGTAGTTGCTACAATTAAAATTACATGGTATGTCTCCAGCCATTTATATTACAGGAAGAATAAATACAATGGAAACTGGAGGGTATAAACAGCTTAGCTACTAGGAAAAATGCATTATGTATTTCTTAACCTTTCCAGTATGCTGCAACTTTTCACAAGTGAAAAAGCATACCTTAGACATGTGAAACTGCATACACATACATCTCCTCCTTGGTAAACTCCTGTCATGGACTAGGAGAGCGGATTCACTAGATTGCTTCTAAGGTTCCTTCTTACATGTTTGATATCATTCTAATAATGTATGAAAGTAGTTTATTCTTCAAATAAAACTGGGTCCTGGGTTCAGCAGCAGCAGTCATTTTTTCTCCTTCTTAGTGGCTGGTGCAGTGCTGTGTTTTTGATTTTCGGCCTGGGAACAGCGCTGATAACACCAATGTTTTTAGTTACTGCTCAAATGTTTAGTCTGACCAAGGACTTTCTAAGCCTCATGCTTTGCCAGGGAGGAGGGGAAGCCAGAAGGAAGCAGAGACAGGACACCTGACCCAAACTAGTCAAAGAGGTATTCCATACCACAGCACATCATGCCCAGGATGTAGAACTGGGGGCAGTTACCTGGAAGGGCACTCACAGCTCAGGTCGGGCCCGGTCGGTGGGTGGTATCATATTCTCTTCCATTGTTATTTCCCTTATCATTATTATTATTGGTGGTATCAGTAGTGATTTGTGTTATACCTTAGTTACTGGGCTGTTCTTATCTCAATCCATGGGAGTTACATTCTTTCGATTCTCCTCCCTGTCCCTCTGGGAGTTGGGGGGAGGGAAGAAGGGGGGAGTAAGCAAGCGAGACTGCGTGGTTGACAGAGTTTAAACCACGACAAACTAAAACTGAATAAAACTGTGCCTTCTTGGTACTAGCAATCTGCTAGCTTAAAACTTGGTCTCTGACGATGAACCAAGTGTGAATGTATCTTTGGTAACACATTTTCTAAATACCATCAAAGGAGATTTTCAAACAAATTTCACATAGCCAGAAGAAAAGCTTTTGAACTTAAAATTTCTGGCTTGAAATGCTATTTTCATTTATTTAACTTGAGTAATAGAGTTGTGAGATTACATCAGTCCAGTTAAAGCATATTGTATACAATTGTAGTTCTACCACACATAACACCTACTGTTATACCAATTTGAATCCCGTGGAAAAATACAGGTCTGTAAAAGACACATCTGACAACAGTATTGTGAGCTGGAATTTGAGTTAGTTTGAAAGATGGAAGTATTTATACAAATTGATGTTATTTTGTGAACTGGGCAAATCAAGATTGAAAACATGCAGACAAATATTTTCAAAGTATAATCTGCACACAGTAAACTGGTTTAAAATCAGAGTCCAGACTCTGGGCTGCCCTTCTCTGAGGCAATAGAGATCCAAGGGGGATGGGACATTTAGAAAGTACAGAAGAAAGGGAATGGCATTTCTTCCTGTATTTGTAACTTCCAGATTCTGAGCTGCCTCAAGGTAAAATCCTCAGCAAGATCTGCTGTAGTGTGTGGCAACTTCCTCACTGCTGTCCAGAAGCTGTGCTGCATCCAGGGCTGTGAGAACACACTGCTCTAAACTTATCTTTACCTAACAAGAGGGAGCAAGGGTGCATATGCCTGGTACTCATTCATGGGCAATCTTAATCCTTACTCTGGCCTCTATACATCTTGAAAGGCTGTGCCAGGATTAGGTATTTTCTCTTGTACTTTATGGTATGTGATATTGCCTTTAATAGAGCAATTCACGAAGGAAGCTGGTTCATGGGAACTGATCCCAAATCAGACACAGGTTGCTAGAGACACATATCTGAGATGAGGAAACAGTATCAAACGACTGAATTATGGTAGCAATGTGTATTTACCATGCTCCCTACCTAAAGTTTACAATTAGAAAACATTACTCTGTAGTACATTTATTCAGAAAACTCTAGACCTTTCACTTACTTACGAACACAACTTTCATTGAGTGTAAGGTAGAAATGTCTTCCTAAGGAAGAACAGACCCACAGTTCACAAAACAAATTTTCTCTTGACACATTACTTAAATAAAGACATTTTATGTGGTAAGAATGTGACCTACCTTTTTAGTCTGATTCACATTTACCAAACTGCAACTTCAAAATGCCTTTGCCATGAAGCTGAAGAATCTGGTTGTACTCTTTGGGCATTGCATGGAAACCTGGTTTAGGCAGCTGGTTGTCATAATAGTGATGGCTGATTGGCATCTTCTCCATGGATTTTGAGAAAGGCCAGAAACCATAGAGCTTCACATTCTCACAGAGCTCAAGAGCAGCACTAGTGATCATAAAACCAGATGACAACCGGTAGGCTTTTACACCCTTAGTTCTCCAGAACTGGGCAAGACTTTTCAGGTAACTGGGGTGAAAAAATATTGCCCTCTGGGTTGCTTTGAACTCTTGCAGAGTGTGATACACTTTAAAAGAAGTGGCTGTGTTGCTTCTGAAGGAAAACGCTGGCAATAAAAGCAAAGCATCTCCATAGACTGCAATGTTCTCCAGAAATTCAGCCTTCTTTTCATTTAGTTTGTTGTACCTGCAAAGTACAACATTTCAGGAAAAGACTGAATGGAATGTTGGAATAGTTGCATATATGAGTTATGAACTCTGCTGCACCAGTTCAGCCTGTCTATACAGTCAATTTATACCAATCTGTTGTATGTTGTCATATGTGCAGTTATGAAAATCAGTCTTTATTTTATAATAAGAACACACACCATAGGATTGAATTGGCAACATGGGAGTTAGTGAAGCAGATCAAATTCACAGCTAGTAAGACCAGGACCTGTTTACAGAATTAATCAATTCAAGAAACTTCAAAGAAGAATGGAAAAAAAAAGGCATTTTTATTTCCTGTGTTTAAAAATACATGCACTATGTATTTTTATACTATGCACAGTATGATATATACTGCATGTGCTTGTGAAATGTGTTTCTTACGTCAAGAGGTATATAATAACCTCTCTTCAAAACCTGGGTGTCAGCCCCATTTGGAAATGGATGCAAGTACACATATGAGCAGTCTTGGAGTGCTAAAGAGTAGTGTGTACTCAAGTTTCACAGTCTTAACTGCTTTTCATATACTTTTAAAATAGCTGAAAATATAAGCATATCTATTTATCCCCTTAGACTACAAAGGGAACAGATGGAGTTAGAGATCTAACTTCACAAATAAAAAGGATTTATTCTCAGATGCTTCGGATCCCAACAACTAGCAAGGAGACTTCAGTTCTCACAACTGACTAATTCCCATGCTCCCAAACATTGAATAGTGAACCTCTAGAGTTACCCAAGAAGTGATACAAGACACAAGGGGGTCACTCACCTAGTTTCCTCTATAGATCTGAGTTGTCTGAATCACGTGAATATACGGCACTTGAATCCCTTTTAGGATTCAAAGCACTGAGTCTGCTTTTGTAGGTATTTGTCTATCTATCTGAGCCATGTACTTTCACCTTTTAAGGACTACCAGAGCCCACTTTTCACAAATGGCTTCAGCAGAAGCTGGAAAAATTGGTTTCATTTCTCTTCACAACTTGAATAGGTTCAAACCCTCTTCCTATTGAGCACTTCAAGGCAGGGGACAGCAGCTACCACCATCTCCATTCAAAACCCTCACGGAAGACTTGGCAGTTACCTCTTGAACAACTGAATTCCTGCAAGGAGTGATACTTCTTCTCAGGCTGAGGGGGTTTATACTTACAGCTCTGCTTCCCCAAAAAGTGCCATTATGTCCTGGGTTCAGCAGTAGCAGTCATTTTTCCCCTTCTTAGTAGCTGGTGCAGTGCTGTGTTTTTGACTTTCAGCCTGGGAACAGCGCTGATAACACCAATGCTTTTAGTTGCTGCTCAGTAATGTTTACTCTGACCAAGGACTTTCTGAGTCTCATGCTCTGCCAGGGAGCAGGGGAAGCCGGGAGGAAGCAAAGACAGGGCACCTGACCCAAACTAGCCAAAAAAGTATTCCACACCACAGCACGTCATGCCCAGTATATAAACTGGAGGCAGCTACCCAGAAGGGTTAGATCACTGCTCGGGTCAGGCTGGGTATCAGTCAGCAGGTGATGAGTGGTTGTATTCTCTTCCGTTGTTATTTCCCTTATTATTATTATTGGTTGTTGCAGAATGGCTCTAAGAGCAAGGCCATGGAGCCTTGGAGGTCTGTGCGAGCAAGGCAAGGGGTGGGCCCCACAGGTAACTGGAAACCGGAGGTGGGAGGAGAATGTGGAGGAAGCCGTGTGGGTCTAACCAATACTGTTGTGCCTAGAAGGAGTGGCTGAATACCACTCCTATATAAGTGAACTGCATCACAAATAAAGTAGAAGTTTGCTTATCACCCATATTGGGTTGGCCTGTCTGCTTCTCCTCGCCGCTTACAAATGGTGCCCAAACAGGGATGTGGACTAAAGGGCCCCGGCTGCTGGGGACCCGGATTACAGGGCCCCGGTTGGCGGGGACCCGGATTACAGGGCCCTGAGTATCAGGGACCCAGAACGGCGAGTAAGCAGCGCTGGCGGCAGCGGCCGGGGAGCGCGGGCAATGCTGCTGCGGTGGCGTGACGGACCCGGGTGCTTGGACTAACTGAAAGGAATCCGCCGCTGGGGCGAACCAGACACTGCTGCGTCGGGAGGCCGATCCGGAGACCAAGGTTACAGGTCGACCCAGAAGAAGACGATCCGGAAAAGGCCGGCCATGAAAATGGACCGAGAGGTAGCCCTGGACTTATTACAGTGCTTTTTATAAAAGCGGGGAATTGAGCCTGAGACTCTAAAGCAGCTAGCAGGTCTAGTGGCTGTAGGGAAGGATAAGGGATTTTTTGTAGATCCTAATACAGTATTTGAGGAGAGTGAGTGGCGAAAGTTTGGTGATGAGTTATTTGACTCGATGCTTGATGATGATAAAACGGCAAGGAAATTTGGTAAGCCTTGGAGAGAAGTTTGCTTATCACCCATATTGGGTTGGCCTGTCTGCTTCTCCTCGCCGCTTACAATTGGTGGCAGCAGTAGTGGTTTGTGTTATACCTTAGTTACTGGACTGTTCTTATCTCAATCCATGGGAGTTACATTCTTTAGATTCTCCTCCCCATCCCTCCAGGAGCTGGGGGAGGAGGAAAGGGGGAGAGTGAGTGAGCAGCTGCATGATTCTGAGTTACTGACTGGGCTTAAACCACGATACATTACCATCAGATTCTGAAGCAAAATGAAGACATCTCAGGCCCTCCTGTTGACCCCAGCCCCCTGTGCATGCAACAGCCACACAGCCAAAGCAAGCAAGAAACGCCTGAGCATGTGTCTAGGAAGAGTGGCTGAAGGGTGAGCTTCTGGCCTTTACTACAAGAATCTTCTCTATTTTGACTCAGTGTAAAGTACATAAAGAGCCTTCAGGACACAATTCAGATCTGTTCTTCCATAGCTAGAAACCTGAAAACCTCAACTTAGTCTTGTTTTCTTTTTCAGCTCTGCCCCTGTGAGGTGCAGTGTAGCCCAGCTCCATTTGGACACACAAGAACTGTGCTTCTCTCCCCCAGGAGAGTTCACCTACATTGTACACCCTGACAGGCACAGTTCAAAAGCTGATTAACCTTAACAATAACAGCAGACTAACCCAGTACTCAAACACAGAATTAGAAATTAGAGTGAATAAAGTCAGAATAGGTCTTCTGAGACAAGAAAAAAAACTTAGTTCTGCTAAATGGTGCCAAGTTCCTTCCTGCTCCTCTTTCAAAGGCATTTACAGTGTTCTCTGAGTATTCAATTATTTTTTTAGATTTTTAAATCTTAAAGTCCTCTCAATCTCATTTCATCCTTACGCAGATACAGCTCCTGTTTCCTTCATTGTAACTGCTATGAACCGTGATGTGACTACATTAGGTTAAAAAACGAGGGCAGCTGTGGCAGAACACATTGATCAAGCCCAGACAAATGATGCACCAGGTCAGTAGCCACCAACGATGCTGAATCACTGGACAAAATTTTCCTGCCCCATATTGTTGTGCAGCCCTTCTAACATCAGTAAGCTAAATCTGGTTTTGGGGAAGCAATAACTCATTTTCATTTAAGTCAAAAAGTCCTGGGTAAGCATTAAGGTAGTTAGTACTGACTGCAAAAATCACTTTCTATCCTTGAATCAATAACAAATGCTTGTTAGCCATTTCTATGCTCACTGTAATTTCCCCTTCTTCCTTTAAAGGAAAAAATAAAAAGCTCTGATGTCGTGTATTTGACAAATATAGCTATGACAGACAATAAGATACAGTAAGATCAGTAAGCAGTAAATAACATGCCACAGCAGTCCTTTTCATAGATAAGCCGCAGTTCCAGCCTGCTGAAGATGTCAGATTACTCAGCCTGGCCTTATTAGATTTTCTTTTCATCAAGAAAGTGCAAAAAAAGAACTTTGCTGAGAAAAAAGTGCGTGAGTAGATTTTACAGATTGAGAAAACGGATCACAGAAATTGGACCTCCATTCAGGAAACAGCCTTCATCAGAACAGGTTCTAACCTGTGTTTACAGTCCTACCAACGGAGTCAGACACACATTTCCAAGCTTTCCTGATTTACGATTACAATTCCTTTCTTATGCTGGAGGTCATAAGGGTCACAGGGGGAAAAGAAGAGGCTTGGGCTTGCAATTATCAGTTTTATTCTGTCATAAATTGTGGACTGGTGCTAACCAAACCACTTGCTAACGTGGGCATTGCTGACTCCTTCCTGTTCCATAAAAGGCCAGGTTTAACAGATTTCCATTTACATTGGTACATATTTTACATGGAAACTAAAGCTTAATGAAGTAATCTGCATGCACTGCTCTCTATGCTGGTATCCCAACGGATTTCCAACAAAATCTAAATCATGTCAAACAATTATACAATATTGCACCAAAACAGATTTGCAGTAGCACTTACTTCTGAGCTATGATACTCGGATTAACAGTCACAAGGTTTGTTTTATTGCCAACATCTTTGCTAATGCTTCCCACGGTTGGAGGGAGGTTACACCTGAAATTGAGAAACATTTACTTTAACAAATGCATACCAGAAATGCTGTATAGCTAATATTTGCAAATTCCTCTCTTGAGCAATGACACTTTCACGTCAGCTCCCAGAGATCTCTAAGCACTTTACAAATATTAAATAAGGCTTACAGCACTTCCAGTAAAAATATTTAATCTACTGTACAGATGGTTAAAATAGGGCACAGGGAGCTCATTTTCACAAATCATCTCACAAATCAGGAGCAAAGCTAAAATCCCAGAAGGCACCAGTCTATCAATGCCCTATGTTAGGTGCTAAGGTATAATTGCCCCTCTTGCCTAAACAATGCATTTCTTCTGCAAGTCTTCTATTATGTCTTCTACAACAACAATGGAATAACTTGCCCAATTGCAGAAACAGTGGTTTCCCTAAAAGGTAAAGAAAGCATTTTTTTCAAACCAGTCAGTAAATTTAGCATCTTACTATACCATTTTTATGAAGACAGTTACATAACTGGAAAGGTTGGCTTTTTTTCATGTTTTACTTTGTTTTGGTTTTGTTTTTTTAATTTTAAAAGCCCAAATATTAGCCAGAAGTAGGAAAGGAAACAAAATCCAGCAAACTGAGTGACTGGACATCACAGAGAGAACCCGCATGCTGTTACACTGTTCCTCTGCATGAACTACAAAGTGTGAGTCACATACTAAGAGAGTGCACCAAACTACTCTCTGAGTGTGCTTGGGTTTCTCCACAACCTACAGAGGGAGGCAAAATAATCTATTTCAATTAGATTACTAAATTTTTAGATGGCTAACAGAAGGTGAGACAAATACTGGGGCAGTTAAATAACTGTATTAGTGAGCCAACATAAGGGTGCTGTTTAACAAAGGGTTTATAACCAAAGGTAAACATGTGACATTTAATGCCAGTCTTATTTCAGTTTCAGGGTTTTCTTTATTCTCTTGATTAAAAAAAAAAAAATCTCTGCAATCATAGATCATACATGTATCCCTATAGTCCTCTCTCTACTTAAGAAGCAGTGGTCTGAAATCTACAAAGCATAAGGAGTATCCTTAGGGAGACAGCAATAAAGAATGGGCAAGATCTTGCTACAAACTTGCACTGGCATGCTTCCAAGCCTACCAAGTTTTCAGGAACACTAGACACACTTCAGTAAGAAAGAGCAGCTCTTACCTAAACACAAAGTCAGAACGATCGATTTCAGCTCCACAGCTGGAATTTTTCAGAATGCCCCCATTTCCAACCACGGCACAGGTCTTGAACGGATAGACTGAAAGAGGAGAGGACTGCAACAAATAAAAAGACACAGCCAATACCTTATAAATCTTGTGATTGTTTCTTTGCACCTTTAGTCATTCATCCTTGTAGGTTTAATCTGGTAAATCCCAGTAAAAGCATTCACCATTTAGCACACAGGGTTGCCATGCCTGGACAACCAAGGGCCAAAAATAGGCACCAACAGACTGAGAACTGCTACATCTATCGTCAGAACTTTGAAGGAGTAACACAGGATTGTTAAAACTAGATTAACGTCTTTAAAGACACAACACAAAAGTTACCCAGTAGCGGACTGAATGTTTACAAGCTAAGGACCTAAGCTGTACTGAAGACAGGTTGAATTTACCCATTTTCCTTTGCACTGTAACAGACTGGGGGTTGTCACAGTCATTGTCTTTAACAGCTAACAGAAGGTAACTTTGCAAATGTGCATTACTTTGTCATCACACAATTACACTTGCTATAAAATAACCAGTTTAGGGGAACTTGAAGATGCTGTTAAGGACAGTCATGTGCCCTGGTTTAAGCCATGGCAAACGTGATAGCTAACTGAAGAAGTTACTGTTTGTGGCTGCTCACCCTCTACTCCTCTCCTTGTTGGAGATTGCTGTCTTGCAGGGGGGAAGCTGAATGGGGGCTAAGTGCAGCCACTTGTGAACCAGCACAGATCACAACCTAGCAAATGAATGTAAATCGCTGGCTATTTCATTTGACATTAATATAGTTGGCTGTTATCCCAGGGCCTCAGAAACACCTCATGCATCTTGTTCAGCCTCTCCTGCTGTGGAAGCACTGACATTCAGAGAGGCCAATAGATGAGCTACTTTCACTGCAGAAACTGAACTCACTTGTAAAATTGAGTCAAAATTTGCTTACAGAAAGCATTATCCTTCCTCCTTCTCTCAGCAGCTTACTGGAAGAGAATCAGGAAGTGACACTGTTACGAACAAGGCAAGAGGTGTGGGGAAAGTGGCAGACATCAACAACATGTTCAAATGTTTTGCTCAATTCTGAAAAGACAGTAGGAGAACACAAAGGCCAAACAACTCTGACTAACTTAGCAAGTATACGTTCAGATAAAATATGCCACTTTTTTCTTCCACTCAGTTTAAATTTGGAGCCACAGTAACCTCTATTGCAATGAAGTTTTTAGTGATTCACAGTGGCATTAGAAAGGACTAGACTCATGGTAGCTGGCATCTCACAAATTCACAATGGGTAAGAGGGCTCCCAAGTGCTCTTACTTTTGAGAAATTAAGTACGTATCTGTGCCCATCTTTGTCTCATTTTCAGAGCTTGTATGTCTGTAAGGGACTGTGAGTCCCTTGTAGATCAGGACTGGAAGTCCCAATCTACAAAACTGCATTCCTTTGCTCAACCGGTGTTTCTGGCTGCAAAGGCTCCACCCCAGGGGGCAACAAAGCTGGTGAAAGGGCTGGAAGCAATGTCGTGTGAGGAGCAGCTGAGGACTTTGGGATTGTCTAGTCTGGAGAAAAGGAGGCTGGGGACAACCTCTTTGCCCTCCACAGCTTCCTGAGGAGGGGATGTGGAGAGGGAGGTGCTGAGCTCTTCTCTCTGGTGTCCAGTGATAGGACACATGGGAATGGTTCAAAGCTATACCAGGGAGGTTTAGGAATTAGGAAATTAGGAAGTATTTCTTTACCAAGAGGGTAGTCAAGCACTGGAACAGGCTCCCTAGAGAGATGGTCAATGTCCCATACCTGTCAGTGTTTGAGAGCTATTTGGACAATCCCTTAACAACATGCTTTAACTTGGGTCAGCCCTGAACTGGTCAGACAGTTGGACTAGATGATTGTTGTAGGTTCCTTTCAACTGAAATAGTCTATTCTATTCTGTTCTGTTCTATATCAGGTTTACCACCAAAATAGCTTTCCTAAGTTATATGCCCAAGCCAGCACCAGAAATGCCATGGGAATATGAGGAATATGAAATGTTGTTCCATACTGAAATGCCTTTGAAAATGGGAATGAGAAAAGCAAGGCAAACATGCTCAAAGTATTCACTGCTGAATTCAGCTGGCTGCCAAATCAGGATGCAACTTGTGTTCTTTAGCAACTCTGCCTACAATGTGCTCTATGGTACCCTGTCCATCCATCACTGCAGAAGGCAGTTAAAAAATAGGTCTTACGAGGTGAATGAGTAAGTGTATATGGGGGTGAATGGCCTCTTCCAGAGGAATCAAAGAAAGCAGTTCATTTACTAACCCAAAATATATATGATACTGCAATTATAATAACAGGCTCTTATACCTTATCTTATACCTTATAACAGGTTCTTTATCTCTTATAAATACAGTTCTTACCACAGGCAGCATCTTAAAAATGTCCTCTGTAATGAGGATGGTCTTTTTACTGTCCACTTCATAACTCATGTTACTTCCCAGTGGGCTGTTGTTTTGAGAAGCAATAAAATTGTGAACTGCATCACAGCAGGAAGCTAATTCTGATCTGCAAAAAACCCAAAGAAAACCTGCTCAAAGACAGACAAATAAGCAGGGAAATGTTGTTAGAGAAGTAGATCAATGAAAAACAGTTCTAATTAACTAAGCAACAAAATGCTATATGAACCCTTGGCTTGCTTTTTAAAGCAAGTCCTTTTCACAGCAAACGTTCAGAAATAATCAGACCAAGAACCCCTTCTCTTATCCTGTTTTTCTCTCTTGGTCTCTCTTTCCCATCCAGAAAAAGTTGTAATTGGTCTTCTCCTTACTATTACTTGCTTCAGCCACCAAAGAATTAACAATGTGTTTTCCATCCACATAGAATGAGTGATTGTAGGAAATTAGAAGGCTGAAGAAAGAACCAAGCAGATTAAAGGAAGTACTGCCTATAGTACTTAGCGAACAGTTAAACAGTCACAGGCCAACTAATTAATAATTCATTATCACACCTGTTCAGCACACTTTTTCTGTGCACAGTATCACAGATAATAAATAGATCACATCACAACTTGAAAATAAGGAAGACAGATATCTTCATGGTAGAGACAGACAGCAAAGCTGCTCTCCAAAACAGCTAGCTTAAGTAGGTAAGACTGCAAGTGAATCACTCCAATTTTATGTAGGAGTGAAGGCTATCACCCATCTTACAATTCCTGCTGCCTCCAAACTTACAAAAATATTATGTGTGCAAATATCCTATGTTATTAACAGTAAGATGCAATGAAAAGCCCCATCATACCTTTGAAATCAGACATGAAATGCTGTAATTCATTTTGCTTTAGGGAACAATGTTCTTTCTGCTGCTACCTGATCTAATTTTCAGACTGTAAGGCTGAAATACTCATGGCCAGACATTATCTATCAATTGTCAGGACATTAGGTGAGATATTAAGAAAACTACTAACCATTTAGAGAAGGAAATTCATTGATAACATAATTGCTTGGAATTTAGAAGATAACAGAGCACGGAATTCTGTCCTAACACTGAAGGTTAATTGTGAAGAAAAAATACAGATATATTTACAGTTGGAGCCAGAGGAATAGAAAAGCTTTGTTTCACACTTTTTCCATGAGTAAGGCAAAGCAACCCGTTGGAACTACTTAAACAATACAGGCCAAATTCTGGATAAGCTGACTTTAATAGGGTAAGACACAGGTAAGAGAAGTTGCTTCATTCAACTTTATCAACAACGTACACAGGGCAAATATTCTTATAATAATATCATTCTATTTCTGATGGAGATAAGACATAGTCCAGCACATGGAAGAACCCAAAGATTATGTTTCCTGGAAGACAAGGAAGATAATGAACAGGTCTGGGATAACTCTCAACCTCACTTCTCTTGAAATAATGGTCAAAAACGGAGGAAATAAAAGGTGGGAAAGTTGATTTGATTCATGCATAAAATACCAAATGAAAGATTACCATTTCAGTTGTCAAACTGCTTACTGTACATATTAACCCATTTTGAATACTGAGGTCTGAAACTCCTCAAAGTTCCCAGATGTGTGAGGAACACTGGCAACAACTGAGTGCTGCGGTGACACAGATCTGAAATAATCATACCAGGAGAGTTACCAGGAAATGTTAACAGGAAATACATCTCCTGAGGGTGGAAACAGTAGGGCTCAGATTTCCACAAGCCATATGCAGCTCCGCTCCCTGAATGCGGTGATCTCCACTCCCTGAATGCAGTGATTTCCACTGCCTTGCTCAAAGCTCTAATGAGCAGGGCAGGTCTGTGGTCAATTAAAACCGCTAGGTACAAGGGTGGGGATGCAACCAAGACTATGCTCTTGTGAGTAAGGAGGTACACACATGGTGAAAACAACTGAGCATACAGCATACTATTTTAAGCATATAGAAAAATACAAATGGAGCAATGAGGCAGGAGAGTGCAATGATTAAGTATGAAAACACTGGATGTTATTGAACCACTCTTGACTAGGGTCTACTTGCTTTTTTTGTACACTTTTTCCTATAAGCAGCTCTTTCTAACCTTAATATGTACTGCAGTAATAAGAAGATTCAGGCATCACTGTCATGCCCTGAGGGCACCATCAAGCCTCACTACCCCTGTCCAACCCCAGGGGCCACCCCCATCCTGCTCATGACACTGGGCCCCATTTCAGCCCTCCAGAGCCATCAGTCCCTGCCCAGCAACACCACAGCAGGGACAGTTTCCAGCTGTGCCCATCCCATCCTATGGCACATGCCCATGTCTAGGGCTGCCTCACTCCTTGTTAGGGTGCAAGGAGCCTGGCTGCCAGAGTCTGCTCTGCCAGCAGGTTATTGTGCTGGGACCCCATTCCCTGACCCTCAAGGAGCAGCCATCCCTCACTGCTCTCTGGCAATCACATGGAGATGAGGGATCACAAGCCTCATAATTTTGCTTTCTTTGATTCTTTTCTTAAAGCTAGAAGTAGCTAAAAGGCCTAAATATTATGTGTAAATCACAGGAGGTTCAGAGGAGAAGGAATAACACCAAAATATTCTTGCTCAGCTTTAGTTCTGTGTGTGATGGCAACCAGAACCTGAAAAAGCAAACTGATGACAGATAACAGTCATTAATACAGATGATATGGGTTTGCTTTTTATTACTCATTCCACAAGAATGAGTTCTTCAATAAAAGCAGAAATAGTCTGGAAGAAAAATGGATATCAGAATTAATAAGAAAATAACTGTTTAAATTAATATTATGGATCCACTGCACAAGTAAAACAAAGCCAGGCTAATTCAGAAACACAGTGAAAACAAGAGAATAGATACTGATTAATGATACCTTTTCTGATCTTACCTAAGAGCATACATGCTAAAAATTTGGAAGTAACAATAGAAACCTCCTACTTAGATCAAATCATGACACAGAGTCTCACTGTACCAAAGCATTTATGTACAGAACTTCAGCAGGAATGCATGTAACCTGTAGAAAGCAATACCCACTAACAATATATTTAACTCTCTGTTCATATAGGATTTTGCACATATGGTACGTCTACAACTGACAGCAAAGGATAACGAAGAGGTAGAGACAAGGCAGTTCAAGCAATCTGTTACTGCAATTGTCATCATAGTATTAATGTCATATGTGGTCTTTTTCATGAGGTAATGACACCCTTAAGAACATGTACTTCATAAGATTAAGACATGTATCATACAAGTTCAGAGGAGGACTACAAAGATAATCAGAGGGCTGGAGCGCCTCTGCTATGGAGGCAGGGTGAGAGAGTTCAGCTTGTTCAGCCTGGAGAAGAGAAGGCTCTGGGAGACCTTAGAAAAGCCTCTCAATACGTAAAGGGGACCTACAAGAAGTCTGGAGAGGGACTGTTTACAAGGGCATATAGTGATAGAACAAGGGGGAATGGCTTTAAACTGCGAGAGAGGAGATTTTAGATTAGATATTAGGAAGAAATTCAAGGGGGATGAGACACTGGCACAGGTTGTCCAGAGAAGCTGTGGCTGCCCCCGCCCTGGCAGTGTTCAAGGTCGGGTTGGATGGGTCTTTGAACAAGCTGGTCTAGCGTGAGGTGTGTCGCTGCCCATGGCAGGGGGGTTGGAACTAAATGATGTTTACTGGCCCTTCCAAACCCAACCATTCCCTGCTTCTACATAGTCCACTCTAGCAGAAGTCAGAAAGTACCTGCAGGATCTAAATATGCTGATGTAGTTTTTTTGCAGCTCCTGTAGTAGCTCTGTAGCTAAGAAGCATTTTAGCTGGTTCAGTGCTTGTGTACAGGCTGTATGTGCCCGCTGACAAGACACAGCGTGCACACATCTGCAAGAGATTGCAAGCATCTCAACATCTTCCTTTCGACAACTCAATTTGAACCAGCCATAAGGGCCAAAGCAGTCAGTCTAGGGCTAGCAGTTTCTCAGGTGATCCAAAGACCAGAACTGCCCTTATCCTGAATGAAATGGGAAGAACCTAGAAGGGTGAAATCTATCCTTACGGAATAAGTTTGTACAGAGTTTAAAAACTCCCCTCTCCTCCAAACTACTGATACAAGCACCAAGATGACCTTTGATTCACCCTTCTGCAATAAGTAGGATTCTTTTTTCAGAACACATTCTTTAATTAGGAATGCTTAGCCAAAGTCATTTTGCTCTAGATTTTTAAAAATATTTTATTCAGATATATATCTGGTGTGAAAACGCACTTGCTTCTGCACCAAAACTTTACACAGTCTCCTACTCTGGGACACAGGAAAGAGAATATAGCACTAGAACTGTCTGCTCCAGCCTAAAGCTGGAGCACTGGGCTAGCGCAATTAACCATGATCCTCAAGGGGCTGCAGTACCCCCAGGAGAATGGGAGCCTGCAGAACCTGACAAAACTGTGTGAACTTGATAGCATTTCTTCTGTGTAAACTACACTTCAGTGTGATGCCAGTGTCTGCACACCTGGGGCCAGAGGGCATTCTTCATTGTTGAGGATAGTGTGAACTAGTTCATTGTCATTATACATTGGACTAAATTAAGGTGGGAGGAGGGGAACAGTGGATGGGGATGGACACTGCAGAAGTATCAAAACACACAGAACATTCCTCTAAATAGTAAATGCTCAACTGTCATCAAAGGCCACACTTGGGACAATGAGGCAAATAATCATAATTTGCTCTAAATTTGCTTAGTTTAAAGCTAGGAAGCACAATGAAACAGGTACAGAATTTCAACAGTTTGAGACTTTTAAACTTCTTTCAGTAATGGTCTCAGTCCATTTGACTCTAACTCACCTTTTACTAACATCTGTACAAGCAACTGTTGGCAAAAAGAAATACCAGTGCTATTATAATGCACTTGCACATTATCCACACCAGCAATGCTCACCCAGACATATCTCTCTGTGGATCTTCAGTTACCCAAGACACATAAACACCACATAAAAGGGATAACCAAATCCAAAGTAAGAATAGCAAATATTTAAAGCTGTAACTCCTGTAAGCCTCATGCTAAGTGTATCTCACAGCACAGTTTGTAATATCATTTGAATAAAGGGCAAAGTATT